CTCTTTCTCTTCTTTCTCACCACGTTCTCGATCTCTTTCCCATTGTTTTCTTCCTCTCCCTCTCTTTCTTTTTCCTTTTTCTCCCTCCCTCCCTCCCCCCCCCTCTCTCTCTCTCTCTCTCTCTCTCTCTCTCTCTCTCTCTCTCTCTCTCTCTCTCTCTCTCTCTCTCTCTCTCTCTCTCTCTCTCTCTCTCTCTCGCTCGCTCCCTCTCGTCGTCTCCCTCATTCTCTTTCGTCTTCGCTCTCTCTCTTTGTCGTTCTTCCTCGCTTTCTTATTTTTCTTCTTTCTCATCTTGTCCTCGTTCTCTTTCTTTTCCCATTTTCATTCTCTTTCTTCCTCTCTATCTCTCTAAGACAACACATCGATTAGAATCACATTTATCTTTAATCCAACGAACCCGCCCCAAAAAACAGCCACTTAAAAAAGTAAAAAACTGCCAACGAAACAAAATTCTCTACCGGAAATTAACATCTGAATACCATAATCTATTCTTTAAAAAAGTGAATAGAACTGTTGCTATAATTCTCGGTACTCTCCACTCAACCGCATTCAGTTTTTAATGATTAATCCACATTGGACAAAAGAGCGACTACATGCGCGCTAAAAATAATAATACTTATTGGCAATTTCTCTTTCTTTCTTTCTTGATCTCTCGATCTCTCGCTCTTCTTTCTCTTTCTTTCTTGATCTCTAGATCTCTCGCTCTCTCTCTTTCTTCTCTTTCTTTCTTTCTTTTCTTTCTTTTTTGATCTCTCGATATCTAGCTCTCTTCTTTCTCTTTCTCTTCTCTTCTTGTATGTATGTGTACCTGTAAATATGCATGTACATATGTATGTGTACCTGTAAATATGCATGTACGTATGTATGTATGTGTACCTGTTAATATGCATGTACGTATGTATGTCTGTGTACCTATAAATATGCATGTACGTATGTGTATGTATGTATGTACATGTATGTAGATGGATGGATGAGCGCAAGCGCACGCAGAGAGAGAGAGACAGACAGACACAGACACACAGACACACACAAACACACACACAGACAGACAGACAAACACACACACACACACACACACACACACACACACACACACCACACACACACACACACACACACACACACACACACACACACACACCACACACACACACACACGGGGAATCAAATATACCATATAAGGACAAACTGCATTAATGTATAAGGACATAGATAATAAAAGATTATATAAGAACTAAAACTTTAGTACAGGTATATATACTGAACACAAACCAGAGGCAAGATCTCCATGAATTTCTTAGGTATTGGCAGGGGAACTAGTCGACATGGTTACTAGAATATTTCTATTAGCCCAGACTATCAATTTCTCAGTTATATATTCTGCATGTAGAATATGACACCACCCTGTCCATTATTCAAAACAAAACTTTTCCTCTACCTTTTCCTACCTTATAAAGTCAAGAATGTAATTTACTGAATTATTTTTCCTTGTGCACTGTGGACTTTGTTTATGGTCCTTTCTCCTTCTTTCTCTTTCTCCTTTGCTCTCTCTCTCTCTCTCTCGGGCTTTCTTCCTCATTCTCCTTCCCATTCTGTTGCTTCTTCAACCTTTTTATCTTTCTCACTTTTTTTCCTTGTGCACTGAGGACTTTGTTACTTTATCTTTCATACAATTGCTTTTAAGAGAGAAATAATATTCTCATTCAATGATGGTGACCTCTATATTGATAGAACAGGATGCAAAGGACTTACTGTACTACTTCAACGCTGAACAGTATCCAGCATATATCTACATCTAATACTGATATGTTGCAAGTGCCGATATTTATTGTGATCACATACAGGACTTTATTGCTATTTTTCTATGTT